GAGAGAGCGCACGAACAGATTGATGACACCCTCTGGGGGCGGGGCTCCCGTGGTTTCTGTAACTAAAGGAAGTCCCTCCGTGGGCTCGCCCAGTACAGTCTCACTGCACCGTTCCCTGCGCAGGCATTCCCGACATTCTCCGCGCTCCCTGCTCTGCACCTGTCGGACAGGTGTGGCGGGTTGACTGAGCCGAGCTGCGGAGACACAGCGCGCGCGCAGCCGTTCATGGTCACCTATGGGTGAGTGTCTGCGCAGAGCGTGCCCCTGCCTGCAGTCACTGTGGGAGAGGATCCTCACGGGCAAGAAGGCTCCTCAGCCAGCGGGAGCAGGAGGTGAGGAAGAGGATGGAGGAGGACGGAGAGGCACCTGCAGCGACGGGGAGCAGCCCCAGGCCCCGACGCCGCCCCCGAAGCCCCCGAAGGAGACAGCCTCCGAGGGTAGCTGCATCTACACGGCCATGTGGCCCTTCGAGTCCCGGCACCAGGAGGAGCTGTCCTTCCAGGAGGGGGACCTGTTCAGGGTGGTCAGCCGCAGCGGAGACTGGTGGACGGCGCGGAAGATCGACCGCAACGGGCACGTCGTGGCGCAGGGCATCGTCCCCAACAACTACCTGGCGAGGGCAGAGTCCATCAACGTGCAGCCGTGAGTGCAGCTTCCTGTGACGGCTCCCAGAGAGCAGCTCTGACCTCTGGGAGCTCCGAGGGTCATCCCGGTCCGCGATACACAGAAGCACGTGAGCGGCGTGTCTGTATAGAGCAGGTGTTTAGAGGGAGCGGGACAGGATCGTTTCAGGGGTAGCACACCTGATCCAGCCCGAGTGTAGACCGCTCAGGTGTCTCATCCTCTCCTGTCCAACAGAGTTTACAACAGGAGCAAAGCTTCAGCACGAAGCGCGGCAGTAAAATCCTCCATGATTTGATTTAATGCTGCAGCTGCGGGGGTTTAATGACCTCCACACTGGGGCGCCTTTATTTACACAGCATCATATTCACATCATAAAGTCAGTACAACAGGAAGACGCTCAAGCTTCTGAATGTTTACACTGAAAATGTGACGAGAATGAAGCAGCGCAGCAGGTATTTCAAGAACGTACAAACACATTAAGTGTAATTTCCTATTAATGTGTCACTGAACAGGTAAAGGTGTTGACGGGAAAGCTAGAAGAGTTTCAGCTTCTTATGTTCATGAGGCTGCTGTGCGTCCAGCTGCAGGTGCATGAATCAGGACGTGTGCACTGAACAGGGGATTTAACACAAGTGCCTCTTTCAAGTTAAGTGTAACTAGTGTAGAAACTACATGATATGCAGAGCTAGATTAAATGTTCATATCACGTTTGAGTGAAGTCAATAATATCCGATATTAAATCCCGCGACACCGGGATTTCAGTCTCGCGCGCTTTGGATCGTGGTTTGAGGAAAGCGTCCGTCTCGAGCAGCCTCTACTTTCTTTGGTTTACTGAAAAAAGGACATTGGGTGGTTGTTACATTAGAAAGTCTAACTTGTAATTTGAACACAAAGATTTCATGTTTCTTGAACGTAATTAAATCACGTAGCATCTGTACGAAATTCAACA